GTCCGGCTGACCAACTCTTGGTCAGCTCCGGACCAGACCTCAAAGACAAAGAAAAATCCGATTTTTCTCGTCCGATCGATCCCGTTCATATACGTCCATCCCATATGTGTGTGACCCTTTAGTCTCCTCCGAATACGGCAGTAAACACGAGACCCAATCTCGCTTTACAAATCATAAGCGGTCTCTAGCAAGACATTATGATTACTCGTATCGGAAAGAGTTAGATGTGATCTAACCGAAAAGCCAGAGATAGCTCTAACGATGATCCTTTTTGTCTCACGATATCATAATCGAACTCATAGTTCGATTGCTTTGTCGTATCCCGAGCAGACTGTAAGAGATAGATGACATTCATCTATAGTGCGGCCACACATTTCTACAGTTTCACTCCTACGACGGGCCCAAGTGATATCTCTCTCTTTCGAGAGGGACAAAGTTCCATCTTGACTATCTATTATCCATTTCATGATTCGTAATGTACCCGAGCCACGCCTTTATAATCATCCGGTTAAAGACGACGTTTGACGCAGTCAAAGTACATTACTCCTCACGATGGATACAATAGATATCTCAGGTCTGAGGATCCAAAATGAACCATCAAGTGAGATTCAAGTCATGGATAAAATCCAATCGACAATCTCACGTGAGTCACCCAGTCACTTGTTCCAAACAAGTACTCATGACCGTGATCCGTATCTAATACACATGATCATCATCATGATCATCCATCACGCCTCATGTTAGTCTTAATTCATCATTGCTCCCACAATGACAAGCGACTAAGGAATTTAGGAACGTTCTTAACGATCCATGGATATCATTATTTATCAAATATGCAAAATAAATAATGAACAAACAATGCATTCATCCAATAAATACATCGCATCATACATAGTTCTCATATCGTATGATCATCCTAGAGCATCACATCCATCAGTATAGCCGTAATGAGTATGTATTACTTACTGAAGGGGGAGAACCAGAAAGTTATGCTGAAGGCCATGAATGACGAGATGGATTCTTTGTATAAGAACCAAACGTTTGAGTTGGGGAAGTTGCCAGAGGGCAAACGGGAGTTGCTTAACAAATGGGTGTTCAGGGTTAAGCATGAAGAACACAGTTTGCATCCTCCATACAAGGCTAGGCTGGTTGTAAAAGGTTTCAATCAGAAGAAAGGAGTTGATTTTGATGAGATCTTTTCACCAGTTGTGAAGATGTCATCCATACGGGTTGTTCTGGGATTGGCAGCTAGTCTTGATACTTGGAGGTTGAAAAAATGGATGTGACGACGGCTTTCCTTCATGGTGATTTGAAGGAAGAGATCTACATGGTGCAACCTGAAGGCTTTGTTGAGAAAGACAAAGAAGATTACGTTTGCCGGTTGAAGAAAAGCCTTTACGGGTTGAAACAAGCACCGAGGCAATGGTACAAGAAGTTTGACTCGGTTATGGGGGAGCATGGTTACAAGAAGACGACTTCAAATCATTTCGTGTTTGTGCAGAAGTTTTCGGATGATGATTTTATCATCTTGCTGCTCTACATGGACGACATGTTGATTGTGGGCAAGAACATGGAGAGAATAATGGAATTGAAGAAACAACTCGGTCGATTCTTTGCTATGAAAGATTTGGGACCAGCGAAGCAAATTCTTGGGATAAGAATTAATCGGGACAGAAGTAACAAGTTGTTGAATCTGTCGCAGGAGAAATACATTGAGAAAATATTTCAACGGTTCCATATGGAGAAATCTAAAGCTGTGAATTCACCTCTTGCTTCGCACTTTAGATTGAACAGTCAACAAAGTCCGAGTACAGACTCAGAGAAGGAGGAGATGAGACGAGTTCCATACGCCTCTGCAGTGGGAAGTCTGATATATGCTATGGTTTGTACAAGGCCGGATATAGCTCACGCCGTTGGAACATTGGTAGGCAGTGAAGTGGATTCTGAAATATCTTCGAGGGACTACCGGTTTGAGAATCATGTTTGGACGTGATAAATCTTTGTTGGTTGGCTACACGGATTCTGACATGGCCGGAGATCCAGATTCTCGGAAATCTACATTGGGTTACTTGGTAACATTTGCGGGTGGAACAGTGTCATGGAAATCGCAATTGCAGAAATGTATTGCACTTTCTACCACTGAAGCTGAGTTCATCGCCGCAACAGAAGCCTGTAAGGAGATTGCTGTGGATGAAGAGGTTTCTTGAGCAGCTTGGATTCAAACAAGATAGATATGTCTTGTTGTGCGACAGTCATAGCGCCATTCATCTTGGGAAGAATCAGACGTTCCATTCAAGATCGAAGCATATTAATGTGAGGTATCACTGGATCTGAGATGTCGTTGATTCGAAGGAGGTTGAACTCGAGAAGGTTCACAATGATGACAATGGTGCTGATATGATGACGAAGGTACTTCCTAAAGGGAAGTTAGATATATGTCGCAGGTTACTGGGATGGTGATTTGTTCACATAGTCGGAAAGGGGAGAATTGTTGAAATTCCTCCCATGTGAACAAGATGTGGAGGTGGAGAAAATGTTCTTCAAAGTTAGGCACCTCCATTTGACAACCTAAGCCACCATTTTTGAAGACACCATCTTTGAAGCCATCTTGGTTGAAATTTACAGCCATTTTTATTGAAGAAATTGGAGCTAGAACCTCCATAAATAGAGAGATTTGGGTGTACAAATGAATCACAGCAACAAGAAGGAGAAACACAAGAGAGAAAGACAGAGAGAGTGAAAGGGAGAAGGAGAGTGAAAAACAGTTTTGAGCGGTTTTGATCAAGTGATCAATCGAATATCGATCTATTATCTGATCGATCTGAAATTTTGTGGAGATCTTCTACACTCCTTGTTCTTGATTCTTTTCGGTTGGATTTTGATTTCAACGGTTAGAATTAAAGAAACATAGATTTTACCAAAATTGTTCATCCAAGGGTATCAAACTGCGGCAGGTCTGATTGCTATGAATATCAGACGGTGGATTCTTTCCCGATCGAGGTGAAATTTGGTATGCTCGTTCTACACCCTCTGTTCTTTGATTTCTATGGTAAGATTTTGCATTGGTTTCCGGAATCAGAATCTACGGGGTTGACTTGCTACCTAAGTTACAGCTTGTTAAGTTGTGCTCTCTTGGTATATTGAGGTTAGAATATTGACGTGTATATTCTATAAACTCGGGTGTGTTTCTTGTAAACGGGAGGTTGTTGTGTTGATATTGTAATCTAGTTATAGTGGATTTTTGGGTGGACTACGGTCCTGTGGTTTTTACTCCTCACACCGAGGGGGTTTTCCACGTTAAAAATTGTTGTCTTGTTTGATTTCGATACCGTTACACTAGATATTGTCATCCTCACAGGTTTACACAAGTAAAGGATTTGGTTACTAATTCGTGACATACGATCGAAGTAACGTAAAATCCCCTACACAGCGAAAGAACCCATCCCCTGTTTTTCGCGGCCTCTTCCGCGGTTAACCAAATCAAGCTTTTCATGTTTCTCGGTGACGAACAAAGGACAAGTGTTCCTACAAAAGGAAGATTCACGCATTGTCACATAGCTTGTTCATTGCATTTAGAAGGTGATATATTAAAACTACCCTAGAAAACCGAAAGCCCCATAATAACTAATAAGGGCATTTTTTTATAAAGGCTCTATTTAGATGCCCATTGAGTAATTTTGTCGAACACCTTGTGGCGGCACAAAGTTTGGTGTCCGAGACCTAATCTGTTACCAACTCCGGCACATCATCCTCTGTAAGTACAAATTCCCTTTCCTCTTTAACAAGAATCACCTGCAACTCACTATCTCTACAACGATGCCCAAAAAAATACTTCTCATCACATCGGAAACAGATCCCTTTCTTCCTCTTTTCATCCAGATCTGAGTCGGTGATTCAGCGAACCGACTGAGGTTTCGCAGCAAGGACAAAAGAGTTGGACCCATAAGATGTTGGGCCAGAGGGAATAGGCACAAAAGCCTCAGCCCATTCCAGCGTTGTGGCCCACTCGAGCCCGAGGGTGGCAAGGAAATCGTGCGAAACGGATTTCCTGAAGTTGAAAATCCCGATTTGTTGCTGCGGTGGTCACCGATCTTGCCGCCAAGTGTCCCGATCGGCTTGCTGTCCAATTTCAGGGCGAGGGCAATTGTTCGCTCGAGCCCCGATGGTTCGAGAATCTCCACCATGTCGACGGGCGATTTGCCGTGAGGAGCAAAAACCATCTCAGCACAGGTTGATCTTTCCTGGGATTTGTCCAGTGGTTCATGTTGGGTCAGAAGCTGTTGCATCATTTGCTTCAAAACTTGTATCTGACCAACCTCCTTCTGGATGCCCACAATGGTCCCTGCAACTCTTCCACGGATGATTGAAACCTTCCTTGCATCTCACCCATAGCTGCATGAAATCCCCCCTGCATATCTCCCATGGCAGACTCCATTTTTCCCAGCTTAGAGGGCATCAAATCTTCCAACAGTTCAATGCGATTATCCTTAGGAGGCATATTTGTAATAGAAAGATATATTTAAATAATATAATGCTGCTTGTGTTTCTGAAGAATCCAAAAGAGAAATATAAATATCCCAGAATTAGAGAGGCACACCACTCTCTTTTATACCCTCACAACTCAAAACATAATTCTCGATACCTAAACCAGCCAAACAGATGCATATCAATACTAGCCAACCCCCCTGAGGTGGCATTCCTAATTATAGTCTGTTCATAACAACCTTCCATCCCAATTCCCTGCGAGCATAACATAATTATTCCTCAGCAATTACTGTTGTCCTGTAGATGCTGCCTCCACGTCAGACCTCTCCGTCTCAACTCCCTCCTCTTCCTTCTCGTTCTCAATTACTTCCTTAACCCTGGCCGTCTCCTTCTTTCCTCTGTTCCTCCTGCGATATATTTGGAAAGGTTTGTCAGTAAATCCCACATGAGTCGGTAAGTAGCATAATCAACATATGGAGAAGTTATGGAGTTGTTCATACAAAAATACTCATGGTATTCATTAAAAATTACTCTTTTTTTATTTTTCTTATAAAATCTGGATTTTGTATCCTACAAGTCTTTCGGATGTCTGAAATTCAGTTATCAATCAAACCTCTTCGAATAATTAATCAATCCACTATCCAATCAAGAACGAGATATGGGAAATCTTAAAAGTTTTGGATATCCGTTTGGTACGTATCTGCTTTTATTTTGGAAATTCTAAAATTTTAAAAAGGGTTAAAGATGCGAATGAATAAAATGTCTTTTACTTGCATCAGATACACAGTCGAATATGACTCTTCCATGAGCCGGGTATTACGTTATTCTCCCTTCCACATCCATTAGGACAAAAAAAACATTGGAAACGACAATGGCTGTCACTGTATCGACAATAAACCCATCTTCCACGCGATTGTTACGGACAATCTTTTCTTCTTCTTCACTTATGTTTTGTCTTCTTGTCGCCAGTTAGGTCTCTGCAAAGCTATATATATATATATATATATATATAATGTATGTGTACATGTTATACGTGTGTGTATATATATACATGTATATATATTCATATATACCAAGCTATATAGCCATAATTCATATTAGTCATATAAAGAAACCAAAAAAGATCTTAACCAAAGCAAGCTCCATTTTGTATTTACATTTGGATGGTTTCTTGACAAACCCTATGTTTCTGAGACATGTATACAAATATTCCTTCAGAATGGAAGTGGATAAGGAATATTACCAAAGGCAAAGTAACAGCCAATCTGATGAGAGTTGGAAAGAACAAACTTACCAAAACCGTGTAATCGACGGTTAATCGAAGGGCGATTTTAATGTCTCGACCTCTTCGGGACGCCAAAATGACTTCTGAACCGAAAGCATACCCTCGTTGCCTTTCGAGTATGTCATTCTTACTTCCCATTTCATGGATTTCACCATCCTTTCGATCTCCCCTATTGTTTCAATATCGTCTCTTACGATGAACGTTCCTTGGGGCCGGAGAATCCTATCGATTTCAGCAACAACCGGTATCAAATTGCACCTGCGATTCAAGAAAAAAGGTCAGAACATCAAATGAGATCAGGGAATGGGTCTAAAAGACGACCAGTTTGTGTAAAACCTCTTTTTCAGGGCAGAGAAAAGATGATTGTCATGAAGAAGGTCATAACTTCTCGGGTAAGTATTGAATGATTCACACCAATCATGATACATTCCAAACAACCCACGTTCGTATATTATAGGAAGTGTATCTGCTGAGTGAATCGGAACAATATTCATCACCCACAACTTCAGATTCTTCAGGGCAGCAGCAAATCTGGGAAACGAGACATGTGTTTAAAAAGAACCGGAACCCGAGAAACAACGCCATCAAACAAAGAGATGTTCATGGAGAATGGAAGGTGAAAAAAGGGCAAAGAAAACCCTACCCTCCATAGACCGCTCCATGACATTTCTTACATTAGACCAATCAATTCCCATACCATTGAGGTAAGTTTTCGAAACAATCGTCTTCCAATGTTCATAGTCAGTGGTGAAATCTTCTTCTGCAGGGTTTCCATAGACACCTTCCTTAGAGCTTAACCACTCTGGAGCACTCTCCAACCTTTCTGGCCATTGCTTAGGCCACACAGCTCCATGCTTCGATAAAATTTCTGGTACCTTGTGCATGCATGCCTCGACTGGAACGTTCCTGAAGCATTGCAAACATGTTATATATATATATATATTCTCGCCTTAAATTGTGTTGGAACTAAGACTTAGTATTCTGTTTAGATCAAGATAGAAATAAAATACCACGCTGCATTTGGATCATCGGACTCCTTGCAGAGTGGTGGCTCGTTTTGAGGTCTTTTATCATAGCATTTGTTAGAAGATGGCTTTTGGAATATGGCAGCACCAACCTCATTCAGTTTGTCTCTCTTGATGGTCACTAGCTTCCAGCACATTGCTTTTCTTAGATCTGACATCTCTACAAGCCAAAAGAGGTAACTCAGAAGTTAGCTTCAATTTGCCAAAACCTTATTCAGGTGATAAACACATTACATAAGAGAAGAATGCAAACCATTCCATACAAAAGAATCTTCTTCGTTCTTCCGGTAAACTAGAGTAGCCGACCATACAAAGAAACCACTAGGCCTCAGCACTCGGTTCAATTCCAGAAGAAGCTTACCGCCTTCAGTTAGAACAAAAAAAAAAGTTGTTTTACACAAAGAATAATGGAATATACATAGATATAGAACCGTATGATATAGCGGGATACCATACCTTCGATGTGCCAAGGGACCCTACAGCGGGCACAATGGATAAGGTCGATAACTGAAGCGGGATATGGTAGTCTCTTGGTTCCCATAACGTTTAACACTGCGGGAATACCACGTTCCAGTGCGAATTGAACTTGTGCCTCGTGTTCATCCTTAGGAGCAAGTGACATTGCAAGTGTATCTCTGTCGAAAAGGTAACCTCCAAAGCTTGCAACTCCACACCCGACATCCAATATAACACGGGTTCTATTTCCCCACGCAATATCAGGATGAGACTGCAAAAAATAAAGCAGTGCTCAAGTAAATACCATGTTTTATAAGGAGAGATATGCAAAGTCATTTTGATACACCTCTAAGGGTTTAGACGAGGAAGAAAGGGAAGAACAGAGGAGGAGGAGCAGAGCAGCAGCAGAATGTGGGGCCCAAGGCAGAGAAAGGGGGATAGAAAGCTACGGAAGGCGAGTAGCAGAGGATTATGGCTGACAAGAATAATTACCTAGGCGATTCCGTTATTTCCCTATTTTCATGTACGTGCTGATATGTGTGTGCAGATATGCCACCTCAGCAGTTTGTTACTGAGAGAGAGACTATATCTATTACGTTTTTCGTTTGGGGAAAGGGTATCTCAGAACTTTAATCTTTTGTGTGGGTGAAGAGAGGTATGCCTCTTGGTTGATTGTATTTCTCTTTGTTTTGGGAATACAATTGGTATTATCTATCTATTTCTTACTATTGTTCTTAACACATTTTTACCTGTTGGATGAAGTCGATGTAGTGAAGAGCACCGTTCTTGAACTGAGTTCCACCACCTGGGAAAGTGAGATAATCACCACTAACCTTCACCCAGTTTTGATGACCCTTGACCTCTGCGAGCTTGGTGTGAGGGACATTGTAGTACCAAATCTGAAATTGCCCACCAAAAGAAGGGATGTCATGCCATAAAAATGAGGAAGCGAAAGCGTGTGTTTCATAATCATATCTAACTTTTACCTTTTCCCTGCTTTTCGGCTAGTTGATGGATCGCTTATATCCTTCAGGCAGAGAGACAAGGCATCGAGGTGGTTCCTCAGGACAGTGCCTCTCTCGGTGTTCGTAGTGTCTTGTAGAAGGAAGGTTTAAGATAGCTTGCCAGTTGTCAAAGCAAGGTATGTAGTCAGGTCCAGCGGTGACATTGCAGACTTTCCAGCCATAGCTGTTTTGATCCTCAGTTATTGAAGACTGCTGTGATTTCTTCTCGTTCTGTGACTCGAGCAATTGAGTTGACCAAGCCCCTGTTCCAGTCTTTGCCTCTTTCGTGATCTCATCCTCACCGGCTAGGAAGACTTCTTCATTACCCTTTTTAGTGTTTTCATCAGATTGGTTACCACTTTCTTCAGACTTTTTCTCAGAGTTTTCTTCAGATTCACCACCACTTTCTTGCGTCGTTTCTTCACTTTCGTTCCCATCCTCAGATTTTTTTTCTTCCAAGCTCTCTTCCACTTGAATTTTCTTGTTTTGCTTCACCACATCGCCTTTTGTTTCTACTTCTCTAGCATTTGAATTTTTCTCCCCATCACCACCTTCGTTTCTTTCCTCCTCTGACTCAGTGTTCTAGCCGGAGTTCTGATCATCCTACTTCTCCTCAGCAGATAACTCCGCATAATTCTTCTCTACATTACTCTCTGCCACGACCTCATTTTCCTCATTCTTTTCATCAGAATCTTTCCTGGAAACCTCTTCTTTCGTGAAGTCAATGTTGAAACTTTCAAAATCTTTTGTAGTTTCCCTCGACCACAAGCCCAAAGACTCAGCCAGGGAAGAAGACGATGGTGACATGAACATCCATGCCCCGATCAGGCAGAGGGAAACAAGCAAAACTATGGTAATGGTTAAGCAATAGCTCGATGACTTCCTCCCTTCCTAATTCCATTAGGATTCCTATTCCAATTGGATTCGATCGCCATGGACTTCGTGGTCAGATTACCGCTCACACCAAGCAAGAAGAACGCCATTTGGGTAGTCGTGGATCGACTAACCAAATCCGCTCATTTTATTCCCATCCCTCAGGAGTATCCGATCGAGCGGTTGGCGCAGATTTATGTTGATGAGATCATGCGTCTACGCAATACACGTTTGCTTAGAGGATTTCCAAGAGACGCCCGATTTACATCCCGCTTGTGGAAGGCGATTCAAGAGGCACTGGGGACGAAGCTCAAGATGAGTACGACATACCATCCTCAGACAGACGGTCAGTCGGAGCGAACGATACAGACTCTGAAGGACATGCTCCAAGCTTGTATTATGGAGTGGGAGCTCCGTGGGACCGGTACTTGACGTCGTGCGAGTTCGCGTACAACAACAGCCATCACACGAGCATAGGAGTGTCTCCATATGAGGTCTTGTATGGGAGACCATGCAAGACACCGTTGTGTTGGACAGAGATCGGAGAACGTCGCGAGTTTGGGTCGGAGATTGTTGAGGAGATGATACGTGTGTACCGAGTCTAAAATATATAACCCGATTCACAACTCACCGCAAGGATACGGATCGTCGTAACACGGGGTCGAACACAAGGACTGGTTGCTAAATCCAAATCTAAATCGAAAAGAGATCAAAGCAAGCAAGCAAGTGATGATGGAAGTAATTGGAATCTATAGAAAACGAAATAAGAAAGCAATATAAACGAGTAACCTATCAAACAAGGATGACTACGGGTGTCGGGATCGTATTCGCGTGTATGGGTATATACTAAGCATGCATGAATAACGATTATGACTTGTATTCGGGAATCATCAAGCAACAAAGATAGAGAATTCACCTCTCGGTCTACTAACTCCCTACCTACAGAGTAACTCGTCAATCTCTCGATCTATTCAAGTTAACCCTAGGTGCATAAAGAACGCTATCATCAACCCTAGATCGATTAAGCCATATCTCTATGTGAATAATACGATCTATCCTATTGATTTTGATCCGAAACAAACCCATATCTCTATGTGGTTCAGAACCCAAGATAATTCTTATGGATGTTTTCCGAGCGACTGGAGAGTAAACATCGAAGTAATCGACACCCTCAGTTTGCCTATAGCCTTTGACTACAAGTCCCGCCTTGTATTTTTCAATAGAACCATCCGGTTTCATCTTTCTTTTGAAGACCTATTTATAACCCAATGGTTTGCATCCTTGTGGAAGATCCACAAGTTCCCAAGTGTGATTTTGTCGGATTGATTCAATCTCACTCTTCACTGCTTCCTTCCAATAAGGAGC